GAGGAATACAGTTAGGCGATGGTATTTAGAATAACGTAGTCAAGCGATGATAGAAATGAGATAGTAGTTAGGCGGTGGTTATTGGGAGACTGTAAATGTGTGTTGATAGTTTGGCGGTCATAGTAATAGAGCAATAGTTGGCAAATTGCAATTAAGTGATAGTGGTCAGGAGACTATAGTCAGATGACTGCGATCAAGAAACAACAATTGGGTGATGGTTCTCCAAAGGCCATAATCGAGCTATAATGACAGGGAGATTGTAGTTTGCTAATAGTAGTTAGGAGATCATAGTTAGACTACAGAGGTTAATAGATTATTGTCAGGCAAATGTGGTCAAGAGGTAGTGGTCATGCAACGGTGCTTGGGAGAATATAGTAGTCTAACAAAGATGATGGGGCAATCATAGTAAAGTGGCAAAGGTCAAGAGATTATCATACGACTATGGTGATCGAAACACCTTGTTTAAGCAATGGTAGTCGAGCGACTGTAGTCAGGCCAGTGTAGTTGGGGGATTCTAATTTGTAGCGATCTAAAAATGATGGTCTAACTATGATGGTTAGTTAGAGCTACATGGTTTTTAAATCTTTGAGCTCTCTCATTATCAATTCAAGTCCCCTTTTATATAAAAAAATGAGGGTATGCTTATAGTATAAGGAAAATGATGATATGTTTATAATATTTTAAAGTGATATTTAAATCTAATTAGAATCCTATAGCACTACATATAAAGGCCTAGAGTGATACCTATTATTCACATGATATTTCTTAGATATTTGGGTGCTTTAATGATGTTGAAATTAAGCATTTTGTAGATCGTTGGATTTATCTCATTGAGATGTATTTTTTTACTATAAGCATGCATTATTTAAAGACCATTTGATACTTCAATCAATATTAAAAAAATTTCAACTACTCTTCAATCGCTTGATTTAGGGTCATAGGAACTCAGATTGGATCACTCATGGTATTGATGAATTCATCTCATTAAGAAGTTAATTTGACTTCCAATTCCACTTTCAATTGATTCTATATGTAATTTGAAAGTTTTCATTCAAATGGTGCCTCAAGTTTATATAATGAAAAGGGGGAAAACCCACAGGAAATGGACCAATATGAATGAATCCACTAGTGTTTGCAGTCGATTATAAATGCGGCTCTTCCTTGTGGGGAAGACATTGGCTTGGTGTAACAGATATACATCATATCGAATGCATTACATGGTAGGAGTTTTAAGAATTAGTATTGACATGTTTGCTTGGTAGACAAGACCTTAGTCGGTGGGCGACGAATGTGAGAAAGATGGTAGTCGGGTGACTGTGGTCGTAAGGACCGTAGTCGACGAGTGATGATTGTCAGAATGACCGTTGTCAGGTGAAGGAGGTCGGAAGGACCGTAGACGACAGACGAAGAAGGTTGAAAAGACTGTTGTCTGGCGACGGAAGTCAGAAGTACCGTAGTCGGCGGGCGACAGAGGTAGAAAAGACCATAGTATGTCAACAAAGATAGGAAGGACCGTAGTCGGCAGGCGACAAAGTTGGAAAAATAAATTTCTGGCGACGGAGGTTGGAAGGATCGTAGTCGGCATGAGATGAAGGTCAGAAAGACCGTTATCTGATGATGAAAGTCGAAAGGGCCATAGTCTCACAACGAAGGTCGGAAAAAACTTAGTCTGGCGACGGAGGTTGAACAGATTGTAGTTGGTGGGCAACCGAGATCTGGAAGATCGTAGTTTCGTGATAGAGGTTGGAAGGACTGTAGTCTGAGGACAACTAAGGTCAGAAATCAGAGTTTGGATGGTCCCGAATTTAATTTTGGAAGTTTCAACTTAATTTTACCTCATGATTCGTGTTTGATCTAGAAAATTTTTTAATGATATATCAGTTATTATATTACGTTTACATTAAGTTTAATTTATTTATTATTATCCATATATTATACTTATTTTATCAATATATTATTCAAGTTAATAAAGAATAATACAATTCTAATTTTCCTACATAAAAAAGCTAACAATATGTCTTAATTAACAATAAGACAAGATAAATCATTGTTAATCACATGGGCTTAAAGTGACTAAATTAATTCATTAGCCATGTAAAGCTGCCTGAACTGCTTGTGATCAAATAATTCATATTAATTTAATTATTTCTTTCATAGAAAGAAAAGCTTCCCTCCCCTTAAAAAACTATTCCAATCTTGTCATGGTGTGCATCATGATGCGCATAAGAACTTAATTAGGCTACTATATCATAATCACCTTAGTCTAAGGATGATTAAATAGTAATTAATTAGTACTGAACAGCTTTATTTGATTAATGGGCAGCTAATTAATTAATTAATTAAGCTCGTCTTTGCTTTGTCGAGTTGTGATGATAGGCTTAGCTTGAGGTCTTAAGTGCCGACAAGATGAAGTGGTTGCTTGTTTGATGCAGAAGGAGAAGTTGGTCTGATTCTTCTCCCCATATAAATATTTTGGTTGATTACGGAGTTAATATTTTTTTTTTAATATCTAGCGAGGAACAATATCTTTTGAGAAATATTATTTCTTTTTTGTGCTATATTGATTAAAAAATGTCCTAAATATTATACTATAGTGACTGTATTCTTTAAATTATAATTAAAAATACTATAAATCACATTTTTTTTTTAATTTTCATAAACAGTTTCAACATTGAAGCATAGTTAATTATCTTCTGTGACAATTACAAAAAATTTGTTGATGATGCCCTAATTTAAATTATATGAGAATGACTTTTAAATATTTTTATCTTGAGATTAATATGATAAAAAATTGATTGATATTTTTATACTATATTATCTTAAATTAAAAAATCCAAACATTTTTTTAAATCAAGATCATCATAATTTGATTATTTCCTTTATTAATTTTTCTTTTATGAAGAATTCATAATTTTTCTCTTATATTAAGGAAATATGTAGTATGATGTTTAGGTACTTTAAAGTTTAATAAGATATTTAGACTTTGTTTGGGACTTTTTTTTTTTTTTCTGCTTCTTAAAGTAATTTTCTAGTACAAAAATTTTTAAATTTTTACATTAAGAAGCTACTTGAAGAAACAATAGAAAAGCCGTTCCAAACGAAGCCTTAGGCTTTGTTTGGGACGACTATCTACTGCTTCTTGAAACAACTTTTTAGTTAAAAATTTTAATTTTTGTATTAAAAAACTGCTTCAAAAAATAATAAAAATTCCGTCCCAAACGGAGCCTTAATCTGTATATATTTGTGGCAATCTTATGTTTGAGAATAATGATTGATTCCCAATAGAAATTTGTGGCCAGGAATAATTAATTAGAGTTTAATTAAGTTTTAAAAGTAATTAACTAAGAAGAACGGCACGTAAACAAATAAATTATTGATATATAAGTTAGAAAATAAAACGAAGTGGCCGTAGGCTGGACCACAGTTATGTTATTGGTGAGATCCATGCAATTTTCTTGTCGTTGTTTGAGGACATATTGGTATTGCAGAAGTATTCTGACGGAGACGTTAATAATAGAGATTAACACTAATACTTTTCTTAATCCTTTGCTTAAATCTAAAGGCGTCTATTAATTAATTGGTTCGTATTGCTTTCAGAAGAAAATTTCATGGAGGTTGAGCCACCATAGAACTTTAAAAAAGTCTATATATATTGACTCGGTCTTGGTTTGCCCGTTTCAATGGTGGACCGGGCGGTTTGGGATGAACCGGATCATATTTCACGTGTAACAAGTTTGGGAAACGATGTAGGCTTTGTTTAGAATAATTTTTTTTATTACTTTGATTTTCATATTGCAATTATAATTTTTATTTGATCATTACTTTTTCAATGTCTTCAAGAAGTTTTTTTTTTGTGCTAGAAAGTTACTTTTTACGGCAGCTTTAAAAAAAAACTGCTTTCTCCAGAGCAATTTTATAACTACTTTACATAATAAGTTGCAAACGTCCCAAATGAATCCTCAGGCTACGTTTGGTACCACCTTTTTACAGCTTTGTAAAATTGTTGTATTTAAATTAATTTTTTAAAGCTATTATATAAAACAAAGTAGAGAGAGTCGTCATAGATGGTTTGGTCACATTAAACGGAGGCCTTCTGTGACCCGGTTTGAAAAGTTGAGGTATTAGATTTGACTTATGTTAAGAAAGGTAGAGGTAGACCTAATAAGACTTGATTAGAAAATATTAGAAATGATCTTTCTTTATTAGATTTAAATGAGACTTTTAACAGGATACAATGGCGAAAAAGGATTCATGTAGTTAATCCCACGTTGTGAGACAAAAGCTTGATGTTGTTGTTGTATTATAGAAAACAATTTTTTTTTAGGAACGGGGGTATCTACCTGCTGTCATTCCAAAGGGGGTTGTTGGCGGCATAATTAATCCCTCGGAAGAACCTAACGATGGCACCAACCGGCATCAAACCTGCACTTGCTTTGCCCCACTGAAAAGGCAAAGCCGTAGTAGAGGGAATTTGAACCCCGTATGGGGGGTTCCCAACCATGCTTGCCCACCAACCACCCTAAGCCTCGATGGGTAGAGAATAAATTTTTAATATATATATATATATATATATATATATATTGAAAACAACAAAAGAGCAGTGGTCAAATATAAATTATAATTACGGTATGAAAAATAAAACAATAAGAAAGCCTTCTTAAATGAAGCCTTAATTTATATGGGAGAGCTCCTATAACCACTTCTTCGTAAGTTTCAAATAGGAACAAAAATAGAGAGTGAAAAAGAAAGGATTTAAATAATTTTGTAAATGCATTTTTTATGAAATTAATTTAAAAAATATTAAATTAACCAAATTAATACTATCTATGCTTTGATTTTATTAAATAAAACATTCTTATAACGTGGAACAATATCTTAGCTTAGTCATGGTTTCCTTTCGCCTTTTACTTCCTCTGCTAGGGTTTCCGCCGTCACCATGATTTTGGGCGTTTGGTGGCTGTTCCTTCCCTTCTTTCTTCAGTTTTTCTGGTTTTTGCATCATGGCTTCCATTCGCCTTCGCGATCCCGGATTCCTGAAGGGGGCGGCTGCGCCTCTTTCCTTTAGAGACGCTTTATCTGGTATTTCTTCTAATTTTCCTGATTTATGCGTTTCTTCCCATCGTGGTTTGCCGGCTCTGCTTATTTCTGAGGAGGAAATTCGTTCCCTTGCGGCCCCTTTTGATTTCGCCTTGGTTGGCCGTTTTCCGGGTCGGCGTCCGCCGGTGGACGCGATTCGGAATTTTTGCTTTAATTTAAAGCTTATTGGAGAATTTTCAGTCACTGTTCTTAATCATAGGAACGTTTTGATAAAGTTAGTGAACGATTTTGATTACTGCCGTATGTTTTCCCATAGATCTTACTTTGTGAAAAATTGTCTCATGAAAGTGGTGAAATGGTCTCCAAATTTGGACATTGAGGTGGAGTCCCCTATTGTGCCGATTTGGGTTTCTTTCCCTTTTCTTAGACCTCATTTGTTCTCTCCTAGAATTCTTTCTGGATTAGGTTCTCTTTTCGGTAAACCTCTCAAGTCGGATATGGCAACTGCTTCTGGTTCTCGTCCGTCCATGGCGCGTATCATGGTGGAATTGGATGTTACGAAAAATTACCCTGATAAAATTTGGGTTGGTTCTGTGGAAACGGGTTATGTTCAATCGGTGGTTTTTGAGGACATTCCGCTTTTCTGTATGCATTGTCATACCTTAGGCCACTCTAAGGATTACTGCCCTGT